CTACTACTTTTCCAGCAAATCAGAACTCTCAAATGGAACAACAAAAAAAAAATCTCTAATATCTGTGATGCAGAGTTATTTGAAAAGAATCTTTTTAAAGGAATTGTGAATATGAGTCATGTGTGGTTTCTGGTTATCTGGTTTAACACAGGAAACAAAAAACTGATACCCAAACCCTTTCAGTGAGAATCTTACATGACATCATTGACTTCAGTCAGTCTGTTGGAAAAACAAACCAGACTAAGTGGCTTTTTCAACTACTTTTTTAAAACTACTGAACACTGTGATTTTTTGACATCTTTCTTGTGACAAATCAAGGTTTATTTTTGGTTGAATAGCCCACCATACTGTTCCAGAAGTACCACACTGATAGTTTAAATAAAGGACATGACTGACCAGCTTTACCATTGTGACCATTAACATATCTGGAAATACAGAAACAAAGCAATTTACCCTCACTATCAGAACACTGAATTATAAGCACCTTCCAGCTCTAACACTTATGCCAACTCCCAGAATATAAGCAATTGGCATATTCATTAGGATTGCACTTTTTCCCATCCCTTCTGCACTGCACACCCCATGGTGTGGTGTAGCTGTAACAGCTGCCTCTGTCCCTGCTGCATTTCAGAGGAAACCCAATCTGATGACAGCCTGCAACAAAAAGAAATACAGTTTTGCCTCTCCATGTATAGAAATATTTCTGATACCCAATCCTTCTTTTTGGAAAAAAAACTCTCCTGGAAGCTTTTCCCAGCAAACCTAAGAGCAGCCTCCAAAAGCCTCTCTGGGTGCATTTTTGATGCTTCAAACTAGGTCAGATGCTCAGGAGGGATGTTTTGTAGTCAACAACCAACCTAGGAATTGAAATACTTAGTAAAAATCATAAATGTTTATGCTGGTTACAGATGACAAACGTTTTGGAGGGGAAAAAAGCTCATATTAAACATGTATAAATTGATCTACTTCTCACAAGTTGTTTCCCAGGCAAAGCATCAACCTTTAACAGCTTCACCCCACCAAACACGTTCAGGTGTTACCTCTGTTTGCCCACATGCAACTGCAGGATGGTTTTTAAATTTTGGCAATAGACATCACAGTCAATGTCAGCAATTACAAAATCTAGGTGTTGTTTCCGTTCACTTCTGGTTTTGTTTAGAAAACACCACAAGTTGTTTTGGAAAACGTCTCTCTCCTCTCCCAAAGTTAAATACTCTCAAACTGTGGATGAGGGAAGGAGGGAAAAGGCAGGGAGCAGAAATTGATACAGCTACAGATTTCCTGTAAAATTGGGACTCAGAACTTGCTTTCTGTGCAGCCCAAACACTAATCATGATGATGTTTTATGTCTAGTGAGATTTATGAGCATTAACTAATTCTTGTTAACAGATAGAAGCTTCAGTTCACATGGTGAGAGCCCTCCCTGCCCACACCCTGCACTGCCCGTGCAGCACACACAGCTCCAGCAGGGCAATCACAGCTGGGCTGGATCCCACACGGATTTATTCCCAGGACTCCTGGCAGGCTCTGGGATCACTGCCCTAGTAAAGATTTCACTACCACTTGGATGCCAAAAAGGAATCCTGAAAGCACTTTTGTGTCCTCCACAACTTTTCCAGAACTTGTGCAATACTTAAAATGAGCTAAAAAGAAGTTGCTTTGAAGAAACTTTGGGTCCAAAAGTTAATTACCAGTTAATTGTCCAAAGTGCCCTTTGCTCCTGCATTTGTTAAATTCTACATCCTTCTTTGGAGATTTACTATTTCTAAGCACCCCAACAACTAAGAGAGCACACAAATCCACTTACCAACAACTCAACATCACCCTGAGGGAGCTGCCAGTGTCTACCAAGATGCCAGAGATACAATAACTGATGATGCTTTTTCAGCTAAGGCAAAGTGAAGGAACTCCAATGTGTCTGAATTACACCTGTCACCATTTTCCAGCAGAATCTGTTTGTCAAGGCAAAAGTAGCTTTTAGATGGGCAAGAAAATAAGCCTGTATTTTTAGAAGTAGTACTTTAGATGTAGCTTTCTGTACACCCCCTCACCTTGAATACCTGTACTTTCAAAACAAACCCCCCTGAAGTACATGTTTAGCCTCATTTTTCACCACTTACATAGTGGTTCTCCTTCAGCAGCTATTTCACATCACTCATGAGCTCCAGAAATAACAAGGGCAAAAGAAGTTGAAAGCCTGCAAGTTCAGCAGCCAAAAAAAACTAAATATAATAAGATTTTGTAAATCTATGTAAAAGTATGTTCTTAAATACTCACTAAACATGCTTCTCACCATACCACAGCCAGCTCACACCAGAACACTGAACAAGCACACCTAACCCCTCTCCAAAGTCTGCTGGAGTTCGGTGCTTTGGTTTGTTTTTAAATCCCCACATCTGCAGAATGTCTCCCCAGTCATCTCACAGAGCATCAAAGCCCATCCTGTTCAACGTGCCAAGATGAGGGATGGACAAATAAACGATGATATACAACAGAGCAAAACAGTCTCTTCTTGAAGAGAAGGCAAATGTGAGTCTAAAAGGCAAATGTGCCCTGATGAAGCACATCTGGCTGCTGAGCAGAAAGGAGGATCATCCCTCATCTGTGCCCTGGAGCACTAATGCACTCTGATCCGGGCAGCGATGCTGTCCCTCCCTCACGTACCTCCCCGACACACACAGAACTGCACCGTGCCAACAAATCCTGCCCATCTGGGCTCAAAGTTAGGGAGTGCTGCCTCAGAGGCTCTGGAAACACAATTTTTAGCCAAGGCAGGAATTACCCGCGAGGGAATCGCTGTCCGAGAGGCGTTTTCCCACGGAGGGCCGGGATGCCGAGAGCATCGCGGGCAGAGGGGGCTGCCCCGGCACGGACACGGGGCTGCACCGCCCGCGGCCGTGCCCTGTGCCCCCCGCGCCCCGCCCGGCCCCGCACCCGCGTGGGAATGACTTCACCTGCCACACAACTGCGGCCATGGCCGGGCCGGGACACGGCGAGACCGGGGGCCTCGTGACGTACAGGGATGATGCCACAAAATCAGAGGGGCACCTCCCGTACCTGCGCCGCGGGGCCACGGCCTGGCAGGGGCCGGGCCGGGCAGGGCGAGCGGGGCCGGCCCCGGGCAGCGGGGAGGCCCCGGGCGGGCGGAGCGGAGCCCCCGGGCCGGGCGGGCGCCTTTGTTGGGGCCGCGCACAAAGGGCACGGCGCTCACCTGGTGCGGGGCCGGGCGGCCCCGGCGCTGCTGCGGCTCGGGCGGCGGGCGCTGGGCACGGGCGGGCGAGCGGAGCGGAGCCGAGCGGAGCCTTCTCCTCCTCCTCCTCCGCCGTGACTCACCGCGGCGGCCCGAGGGAGGTGCCTGGGCGGCTCCGGGGGAGGGACCCGGCGCGTCCCGGCGCCCAGGGCAGCGGCGGCGCCGCAGGCAGCACCCGAGAGCCGGCCGGGAGGAAGGGGCGGGGACGGCGGGGAAGGGCCGGGGAAGGGGCGGGCAGGGCCGGGGAAGGGGCGCGACCACGCGGAGCCGCCCCGGGGGCTCGGCCGGCCCGACCCCGCCCCGCCAGCACCGGGTGCCGCTCTGGGGCAGAGCCTGTCCCTGGGGACGGGGGACAGCGCCGGGGGTGGGCCAGGGGCTCACCTCGAGAGACATGCTGTGGATCAGGCTCTGGGCTGACGCGGTGCCGAGCCTCCCGCAGCTCTGCTCTGCCCTCCTGGTCCTGGCCGGCGGGGCCCGGCTGTGTTCGAGAGCTCACAGCGACCGAGCCGGGGGAGAGAGATCGCAGCTCCGTTAGGACAGGCTGCTGCTCCATAGCACTGTGCTAGGAAAGTTAAAGACGCTGCAAAATTCAGTACAGCTTAACTAAAGCTAATTCAGGCAAATACAGAAAATGCCGACCTCCGACTAGAACTAGCGCTCGAAAATAATGAATCGCCATTTGGTCATTGAAGCACTCAAAAATAAAGCAGTGAATTCTCATTTGGTCACTGAAGCCACCAAAAATAAGGTGATCCTTCACCTAGCTAGACTGAAGCAGAGTAAAACCCCAGTGGACACAGAGAGGGATTAATTAAAAATAATAATAATAAAAAAAAAGATGACAGAAGCCACCTAAGGTTCCTCACCCTGCCCCATCACTCACCTGCACTGTGGTTTCCCACTAGGTTAACAGTTACTCTGCTTCCCTACAGTGTGCACTGGTGGGGCCAGAAAGGTAAGTACAAAATTCCTGGAGATAAAAATGCTTTGTGTACCAAGTGTTATTTAGTAAAATGCATCTGTTTTCTACTCGGTGTTTAACTTAATTGCATAAAAATAGTCACAGTAATGAAATAGGTGGCACTTCCTTTAACAGCTTGCTACTTAATGACATCAAAGCCCGATGCCACTGAAATCCAAACCCCACTGCCAGCTAATGAAGGGCTTAACATGAAAGCCTCTGCAAAGAGCAAACCCAAGCTGCTGACAGGAACAGGAATGGTGCAAATGTGCTGGGATCTGAGATCACTGGCACATACCCACAGCACAGCAGGCAGTAATGATTATTAATTATTTAAGAAAAGAACATAAGAGCTCCAGCGTAAGCTGAAAAAAATATGCAGAAGCATTGCTCTGGGATCCTCCAGTTGGATTACTGTTAATTAGCACAGTACATGAGTCTGAGGGAAAGATCTAAAAGCATCTTATGCTGGTAGGAGCGTATAATTAAGCCATCATTTGCATCTTTGCAATAGTATGAATTTCCTTGCTGATAACATCATGGCACAACACCATCTTATGACTAAGTACTGTCTAGCTCTCCTGTTCCAATTCAGCTGGCTGACTGTACAGCAGTGCAATGCAATCTCACAGAGCATCAATTTAACATCCTGCCTTTATTTAGAAAGGGTTTTAGCAGGGAGAGATACCATAAGGCTTCCTCTACCCTGGGAGGATTTGAGATTTCTTTTCTTAGAACTGAGCTCCTGCCCCACCTTAGTTTGTTCCCCTCCAGCTTTACCGAGGTGTTGGGCTACCAAGCAAAGTGACATCTTGCCACGAGTCACTTGTATCATCACAAGACAGGACAGATGCTCAAGAGGCCTCTTAACTCTGCTAGTTCTGCAACACATTCAGTAGAATTTTGTTCATGTCTCCTGGGACTGCACAGACCTTCCCAAGGCAAACACAGGATAGAGCTGCACTTGTTCAATTCCGTCACCTCACCCATCCCCACCCCTCTTGCCCCAAACACATTCCCTCAGCAGGGCAATGTTAGGAAGATTAATTATCTGAAGGTTAAGTCTTTCTAACATTTTTACAAGTATTGTGTAAAGGCTTGATTTTGTTTTATAAAAGTCTATCAGATTAAATGGATTTTTCTTTTCAATCACTCCTAATCTCTCGTTTAATGAGGCTGCTGTTTGTTCTAGTAAGCCAAAACTCCATGAAACCTTCTCTGAATCCCTGCTTGACTTAGAAAAATTCTCTCAACTCACCCTGTCCTTCCTGATCTCCAATGCTTTCTTAATCAGCTCTGAAAAATCATTTAGGATTCCTTCACAGCACAGCTGCTTCCACCCTCCAGGTCCCCCTGTACTTGTTGGCATCTCCCTCTCATTCCAGGATTCCAGCAGCATCTGCACACACAGGCCCTGCTTTCATTATCCCTCATCCAACCACACACAACAAGGAAAACTCCTTCTCTCCAAGATGTGTGTGGTGCCCAACGAGGGACTTGTTTTTAGTTTGGAATCTCTTTTTCTTTTGTTAATCTCTTATATTTTAGACTTAGCCTGACAATTCCCGTCCATCGAAATCAAGCTCTGATGCAGAAACGTTGCAGTGTTTCCTCAAAATTAAATGCAGTTCAATCATTCAACCCTGTGTACTTTTGGGACACTAAGAAATGGTGGAGGGCACAGCAGTCAGGTGACCTTTCCATCACTAGGGGCAAACAAAACCTGTGTAGATTAGAGATTATACTAAAAAAAAAATGAAAGAAGTGGTTCAGATGCCTTAGTTACAATATTTTATGATTCTACATGGGCTGTGCAGAGAGGAGGTATGCAGAGAGATTTTCAAGGCATGAACAAAAAAGCCCTTTACTGTAAGAAGGGCTATGACAATCATCTTTTTGTTAATCCAGGCTTAGTTTGTGTGGCAAGAAACCTTCTCAGCTGCATGTTTTATTCAAAACCAGAAGTGTTCCCAGATTAAATTTGGTATTTACAAAGTTGCAAAACACGCTTTTTTACAATAACATTACAGAACTTAATTTCCATCTCCACCTTATAAGGATAAAAAAAAGCTGTTTACCCAGACATCACACCTCTGTCCATGGGATCTGCAGGTGGATCTGATGGTTTCCAGCACATCTCAATTATTACTGACCCAGTTTTGGAGGCACGTTCAAAACATCATCCTAAACGTTATCAAGCAGCAAACTACTGTGACACCAAGATAAAAAAAATGTCCCATGATTAGTACTTGTTTAAATGAGAAATCTGCCATTAAATATAACATTTACACATGAGTGTGTTAAATTACAGTAGCTGTTTTGGTGCATGATACAGCAATGCTGTATCCACCAACCTTGTGTCTGTATTTCCTCTTTGGAGACCTTATTTTTGGGACTATTTATTCTGAAATATTTTTATTTATCCTGTCAGATGGTGTCAGGTACTTTGGGCCACCCTTCCAGATGCTCTGAACATCAGCACCTCCCGTTTCACTGAGGTGTTTAAAAGTAAGAGCAGAAAAATCTTGGGCAACATCAACTCCAGTAATTCTCCCCTCATCCTCACAGGCATAAACCCCTTTTAAGGTAAAGTTAAAAAACCTACAACCTCACAGCAAGACCAGGTGGCACATTTTCCAGGACTCCTAAAGAAAAACTCCAATGTGAGCACTGCCATTCCTCTCCTGTGGGCAGACAGAATTTAAATAAGAGTTAAATCCTTCCCCAGAACTCAGTGAGGATAATTTTAAAATGATGGAGGTGGGGAAACTAAAAAGGTGCCTGCAGGCTGACTTCTATTTCTTTACAATGTAAAAATCATATTTGTCCTTCTATGGGGAGGGAATTGCCACACTGGAAACAAACCCAAATGGTTCTGTGTGAATTTGCCTCCCATTTCAGCCACTAATGACAGAGCCTTCACTGCCTGGTCAGTAGGGCATCATTAACCCAGAGTTCTCTATCAAAATGAATTTGACTTTTACAGGCAAGGTAACCTGAGGAACTAAGGGATCTCTCAAGAAATCTTGTATTTTTCCTTCAAGACAAAGATAACTTGCTACTTTTCCATTCAAGATCAAAGAAGGGAAATAATACAAGGAGACAAAGACAGAAGAAAGAGAGACAGAGCATTTGAAGCTTCAATTTTCTCTCGAATGCTTTTTCTTTCAGATCAGTACAATCACTGAATTCACTCTATAGAAAAAGAAGATTAAAAAAGGGAGGTTACATATGGCCAAAAAAAAAGGACTCTAGGAACTTTGCTGATGTGTTTAAAGCTCCTGTACTTTACAATTCTTACTTCAGAAGTAAAATGATAAACAAAAAACAAAGCACATTTTAATCTTCAAAGCAATGTATGATCAATAACAACTTCACAGCACTCAATATTCAAGGATCATAATCTGTATTTTACTCCAGGAAAGATGTGTACAGAATGAGTGATCTGCCAGGGTCTAACACTGAACTGGGGATGGAACTCACACATCACAAGCTTGTTTGTTAAACAACAAATCCATGCTTTCATTTAGCAGTTGTTCTTTTGTTATCAGTTTTTATTTGAGCAAATGATTATGATAATAAATAAATAATGGATTTTTTTTCCCCCCAGCTCCTGCAGAAACATTTCAGACAGTGGTGGAGGTACATCCCAGGATCATTTAGCAAAATATTTAGCACAACACACCAGTTAACTTACTATGACTCAGAAATCAATCTAACACTTCAAGTAGGCCACTAAACTATTTGTGAGGGTCAACACATGAACAGCTTCACACCAGCACCAGCTTCCTTTTTAAATCACATTTATGGTCAGGGCCTCCTGCAGGACACAGCCAGGCTCTGATTTCTGACCCTGCACAGCTTTTGAGGAGGGAATTCTGCCCTGGCCACTGAATCTTCCAGCACTGGTCACTGATCTCATTCCCCACCTTTGTCCATCTCAATCACCAGAGAACTTTCCAAGAGCAGAAGCAGCACAACGTTGAAAAGATGTTCAGTCAAGGATGAATTTAATAGGAATGTTCCAACTGCCTGCAGTACAGAAGCTTTGCAAAAATCCTGAAATATTTACAAATCATTAAAAAAAAAAAGTTTCTCCTGGAAACATAAACCTCTCAAAGGAAGAGGAAGAAGATTTCCATAGCATTGGACTGTAAACTCGCTGGGATCTGTTGGAGTGCTGAGAGATTTAATTTACATCCTAATGCTGCAAGGCAGGCTGGGGGTGGGGGGAAAGAGTTCTTTAGCACCAGTAATGAGCAGAAGGGAAGAGAAGGCAGCTCCAGTCCCCATGGACTGTTTTGTTTGCAATAATTTCAGACTCTCTAATAACGCCTTTTATTAAGCTGCTCTCAGCTCTGGAGCTGCAATGAGCCTTTGTCAGAGAGCACAATGCTGCCCCAGACAGGAAAGTAGTTCTGACAGAATGGACAAAAGGCCCAGTCTAAATAAAGGCTTCTTTAAAAAAAGGCAGGGAAAAGTTCCACCAGTGAAAACCAGAAATTATGCTGTCTGTACCACGTGTCCTTTCATTTCTAAAATGCTACATTTCCAAGAGGTATCTATTAAAGCAAAATACAGGCAAGCAACACATTTTCTAGTCTACTCCTCCTAGTTTACACTTAGACAAACTTGCTTATTTCTAGGGTATTTATGCCCTGTAAGTGCACTCTCCATGGACTGACCATGTTAATGTTCTGTTTATAATCCATGCCACTCATTTAGTCTCCAAGTAACTGCTGTGGGATACTGAGATTAACACTGCAGCAAACTGTCCAAATTTAACACTACTTCCACTCACTCAATTTAATGACACTTCCCACTGAAGCTCATTTCTAGCTATACAAGCCAAAGACATCTATAGGATAGGCAAAACATGATGTTCTATTCCATTAAACACTGACAAACACAGGTACAAAACCAGCCACACCACCATAAACTGAAACCAAACTCACCCTACACTTGGGTTTAAAAGCTGTTTTATAAACCATTACTAATTCTAAAACAACTCAGTATCATCCTTTTAGTACATTTACTTCTCCATTTTTATAATTCCAAGCACTAACAAAATCACTTTTTTTTTCCCCTAGGAATTCTTCTCATTTTTTGAATATTATCACCCATCCTTTTCTTTCCAGCCACAGACCTACTGTGATGGCAGTCACACATTTTACAGTTCAGAAACATGCCTGAAACTTAAATAAGACACAATGCCCAAAAAATACCCAGCCACTAAAACCAGCCCAGAATCTGTCTTGGATACACTGATCACCTTCATACAGGTAGAGATCTCATAACATATCCCCTCCTTTGGAAGATCTCTAAAGAAAGGAAGTGTCAACTCCCTGTTAAAACACACAGTCCAGAGAACCCAAAAATTGCTGATGTTTGAACTCTTTTTGCACAAAAATAAAGCTACTTTTTTGCCTTAATTTTTTTTTTTCAAATAGAAGTTTTACACTTTTCTCTAGATACTGGTAAAATAAGAAGGGGAACAGGTATGAAATCAAGTTAAGAAATGCCCTTGGTGTGGTTTTGTTGTTGCCAGTATCATTAGTTCAGCACCTGAACATATGGTAGAGCAGACCTTAAATGCACATTTCTCGAGCTGAAAAACTTCAGGGAAATCCAGGCTGCCAACCAGCTCTGACAAAATGCAAACGAGCACTTAACTGAAGTGTGAAGGAGTCAAAACTTAGGGAATTAGATCCCTAGCAGCGATTTTACAAAATACAGTTTGCCAGGAAGTTAAGCACACATCCAGAGTCCCGAGTAGTTTCTCCACCCTCTGAACTAAAGGTTCATCAATACGAGATCTTAAATCCTCCTACACCGAGTTTATTCAGGATTCTAACTCCTAAGGGAGGCACAGCCCCTCCCCTCTCCACAGCACCATCACCTGATAAACACACTGAGCAACACTTGCACTGATCACATAATGGGAGTTTTCCCCCCTTTTAAAACCCGTTTGTGCTTGCAAGTTATTTCCTGGCACCTCTGCAACCCCGGGAAATCAGGGCAGCGTGTGGTTGTACCCCAGAGCTGAAGGAAGAGGTCACAGAAAGAGCCTCTCGTTGCCATTTCCTATCAGTTCCCTGGCGTTTCCATACACGAGGTTAAATTACTCCCCACAGGGCTGCCATTGTCTGTCGGTCCGGGCTGCCACACAAAGTGCTCATTCATGTGCACGGCAAACAAGCAGCCAAGGGCCAGTGATCAGCATCCAGGCTCCTTTGGGGTCTTCTGCAAACAGTTTGTAGGAAGATGGCATTCCAAATAAACCAAGTCCATTTTCAAAGCTTCAGTGCTGTCCTAGTACAAACTACTTAGTGGGGAGTCCAGACAAAAATTAAGACAATGTGAAGAATCACCCAAAAAAACCACTCACCGGGACTGCTCCTGAGAAAGATCTGCTTGCTACAACCACATGCAAAAAGATGAAGTTTTTAATAGTTAGAGAAATACACATTCAGAAAAGTTCAAAACAGCTGATTCTTTCCCAAGACAGACATACCATGCTTTTGTTTCTAGAGTTCCACTCAGTGTTCAGCCTCAGAGCTCGTATTTCTTAAGGGGTACAGACACCAAGGTTCCAAAGTGCACTTAAGGCTGATTACTTCATATCTTCTGGTTAAGAACCCAAGAGGTTTTAGGGTTTGGAGTTTTTTTGTTTTGCTTTGCTTTTTTTTTTCTCAACATGTTGGAAATAGAAAAACCAAATGCAGTGTGACAGAAGTCCAATGCTGTTGGTAACTGGAGAGACACAAGCCTCACACACCCCTTCATTGCTTTGCCTTTTCTACTTCAACACTTGCTAGAGCAAAGACTTTGTCTCCTGATCCTATGAGGGGGGAAAAACACATTTTCAGTAAGTATTAATTAGTAGAAGTTGTGAACGTCCTTATGTGCAATTTAAATCAAGCAGAACATTTGAGATGAAAAGAAATCAAACCTACTTTGTGAAAACCAGAACACTTGAGCTAATTTAGAAAAACAAAAAAAGAGAGCCTGACTTGGCAGGTGTAAAGCAGCCACATCCTACTGGGCCTGGCTGGGATGGATGTTCCCTTTCTCCCAGGAGCTCTTGGAGAGCTGGGATTTGGGTTTGCAGCTGCAATGGTGTTGGGAACACACCGAGGTTTGGGCTCCTGCTGAGCAGTGCTGGCTCAGCAGTGAGGGTGTCACAGCCCCAAAGGTCCCTGGGCTTGGGGTGGGCAGGAGGGTGGGAGGGGACATGGCCAGGACAGCTGAGGGTCCATTCCATGGCACAGCACACTCAGCAGTGACAGCCAGGAGAAAGGACAAGGTGGGGAATTTATTGCTGTGACATTTGTCCTCTGAAGGAACTGTTACACACCGAGGCCCTACGCCCCAGAAGGTGGCTGGACATCACCTGCTGCTGGCAAGCAGAGGATTAATCTTTGTTTTCCTTTGCTTCTGTGCACAGCCCTTGCTTTTATTAAATTCCTTTATCTCAACCCACGAGTTTTTAATTCTGTTTTCTCCCCATGCCCTGCTGGGGAGGGGGAATGAGAGAGTGGCTTGGTGGGCAGCTGGTGGCCAGCCAAGGGCAACCCAGCACACACAGAGCTCCTCCCAAAGTCCCCTTGTGAACAAAAGGGTTCTCACCTCACTTACACTCTCAGGAAGAGGAGTGCTGAAAGCTAAGTCAGAGACACTTTATTTGCACCCTGACCTAGTCTGGCACGTTCCTGCCATTCACAGTTCTTTCATCCCAGTTCTGACTGCAATGCCAGAATGAACTGTTGTGCTGATTTAATGCATTTTAGAACTGAACTTTTGATCCTGTCAATATGGCTAGAGGTGTGACAATCACAGCAAGAAGCTGCTTAAAAGCTGTATTTTGACAATGTGCCAATAGTTGCCAAATTCTCTGCAGCAAGCAGAGGAAAAGGCTCTCCTGAGGAGAGTCATTAATGCCAAAAAGATCAGTGTTTAAACGTAAGAGCAGCATCCCTGCTTGAGACAGACCATTCAAGCCTTCAGATGATGGGCAATACTTGGCATTTTGTGGGCATTTGGCCCTGGATTTATCTGCTGTGTTACTTTTTCCTCATGGATAGTGTCTCAGAGTTTCATTGTTAAGAAAATGTACACCAACATTTAATGGCATGAATGTTTGGTTCACATTTTCTCTTTCACAGGGAACCAGAGGTATTTCTATTAATCAGAGTTCAATGAGACAAAGAAATTGGAAGTTCTGAGAATGAAAACTTACCAAGGTCAGTGGAGACTCTCTCAAACTGGCTCAGGGCTGTACCAGCATTTGCTGACAAGAACATCTCATCATCCCCAGTGAGCTAAATCAAAAAAGGCCACAACTGTGAACTTCAAACCTTAACTGTGCACATTCCCACCATCTCCATGGGCATGGACATGAACTCTGACGAGTTACAGCAACTGTCCATTTGCAGTTTTTCAGTGGCAGTGTTGCCTAACACAAAACTAAAACCTAAACTAAAGATACAACCTACTTCCCCTGCCACTGAATTTTCCCTCCATGGCTCCTGCCAGCCCAGGCAGGACAGGATGTGCAGTGCCAGACGTGCCTCCACGTGCACCATAAAGCTTCCAGCTGACCTCCAGTGATCATGTGTGATGGAAAGGTCACACTGTACCTGAGCACCTGAACTGTGCAGAGGATGGCAATAACTTTTTTGTCATGTGGTCAGCACAGTGCTGAACTGAGGTCTAAGCTCACTTCCTATCACCTACTGAGGAAAGCAAAAACATGCCAGCTTTGACCATGTTAAGGGCCAATGACCTAGAAATGGTTCTCTGCCTTTAAAGTGACATTTGCACATGTATATTTTGCTTTTATGTATGTGCTCTGATGCCTTGTGACAGATGCCCATAAAATATTTACAGTAATGAAGCAGTAACCTACATTTGGAAGGTTCAGATATTCTAAGTTAAAAGTCACTCATTTAATTAGCCTCAGATACACATCCTTATTAAAGCAAAGCATAAGGGTGTCAAACTGTTCACAGTGTTTCCATCAGTTTATTAGTTAGAAATATAAAAGTCAGGTACAGGCATTCAGGATGGTGTTGGAATGAAGGAAAACATATTAGTTACCTGCCTTTGCTGAGCTTTGTGAACAAGCATCCAACTACTTAAAATTTTGCAGTATTGCGCAGACAAACATGTAATTTTTACTATCATGGTTCACATCCAGAACAGATGTGAAACTACTGCCCTAGCAAGTCCTGTGTGCAGTAGGATGCTGATCATTTTAAAAGATTAAGAGGTTAGGTCAGAGCATGGTAAAGTGGCTTCATGTGGTGATCCAAGGAACTCATGCCAGGAGGATTAGGTATCTTCATGCATTCAGCTCACAACTTTAACTAGACTTTTATATATCTCCAAAACATGCTTTTTTATCTCTGACAGTCAAGCAATAAAAATATTCTGAGGGAAAGCCTTTGCTTTGGAATCTACCTGAACTGCAGCTCCTTTAAGTACTGCACTTGATCTTTTCCATTACATTCCTTCATTTCCTAAGAAACCTTAAGCACAGAGACACACAGCAACTCATTTTCTTCATACACCAGCCACAAAGAGAAATAACAACTTCTCTTCCTCCCTCTGGTGGCAAACCCAGGGCTTGTTCTGCTACTTATGGATGACTGGGGCAACAATCCCCTTTATCCAATTCCTTTACCTCACACCAAGAGGTAAAGAATATTGTATTATATTGTATTATCAACAATATAAAAATAAGTGAAACTGGATGTGTGTCAAAAGCTTTGGATAATTCCTGGTAAATAGATGGGAGATTTTATTAACATGACCATCTTGTACCAGCTTGTGATTCATTTATATGGCCCAAAGAAAGCATTTTAAAGTAGAAACAGCCTTATATAAATGTACAAAACTATTTGATACATGTTCAGCAGTGAGTGCTTCAGAAAGCCTGGCATTAAAAGGGAAGGACATTTATATACTACAAAAACAAGTTGCATTTTACCCTTTGCTTGTAAAAGTCATAATTCCTTATTTTAATTATTTCAAATTCCTCTTAAATATAAAGACAGAGAACTCTTTTCACCTGAGTTTCACACCAACACTTACCTTCTCACCAAGCTTCCTGAGGGCAGTCAGGATTTCCACTTTCTGTTGGGTGTACAGGTCTCGTGCCAACTTCCCAACCATTAAGTCTCGGTCCATCTGCACATCAGGGGGGAAAAAGGGTCAAAATATATAATCTTCCCATTATTTCACTCAACACAACAGCATGAGAAATGCAACAGCCTAAAAATATCCTCAGTAAGCACAGACCCACAGCAGGAAGGGACAGAGCTATCTATGGTTTAAAAGATGGCTGTTAAGTTTTTCTGAATGTTCTGCAAATACTCTTTACACCTGACCTTAGCTTACTTGATTTCTCCAAACTTGAATCTTTTTCCATCAAAGACTGATAATCACTCAAAATTATGGATTCACACATCACTGGCACATGGAGCAATCACGTTTCATGTCACTTTATCTGCATCTTCAGTTCAGTCTGAGATCTCTGAGTGCACTCTCCACCTCTCAGTACAACCCCAAATTTTCTATTTACAGTTTACTCACTTCACTCTCAATGTCAATCCCATTGTTGTTTGGAAGCAGGAAGATAATTCAAGAAATACACATTGTTGTCCCCGTTACTTCAATAAACATTTAAAACTGCACACGTTCTGAAAGAGACCTTCTCCACCTCTTTATGATGCTGACACCAAGTTTGCCAGCACACTCGGTGCTCTCCTTGCAATCATTCCACACTTGAACCAGTCTGGCTCAAATAAACAGTTTTTGCAGTAAAACAAAAAGCCTTCACCTCTGCCAACCTCGTCCTCAACTGCCTCGGCTGCTTCTTTGCAAACATTCTAATCACTTCTGGGGTTTTAAATGCTTGGCTGATGGCTGCTTGTATGGCCTGCAAGGAAAAGAGCAAGAATGACCAGGACTGACTCACAAATGACAGCTGAAAACAAGATGAAGGAGGGCTGGAGAGCATCATTAGTCCCCTCTGCAGCATTTGATACAGAGCTCTTCTTTTTTTTTGTATAACCACAGAAGTAAGATGAAAAAAAATACAGGACCTTTATGCAGGGCTTGAAGAATCCACTCATTAGTGCAACTACACTATGAAAGAGCTGTGAAATTTTTCATTACAGTCCAGGTCTTACTTTCTAATAATTTCCAACACTTTCCTGATATTAGCACAGTTTTCATGCCCACATTGATGATTACAGCTCTTCTATGGATAAGCATAATGTAAATGATGAATCCACAAAATCCTTTGTGGAGTATCAAAATTATCATTGTTAGATCTCCCCACAGTTATCTTTGGACAAGTCACCATCTCTCTGGAAACAAAATCCTAAAACACAGGGCTTAGAAGGAACAAATTATGCTCTAATTAAACACTGGAAAAAGAGAAAATAGATCAGAAGTTTGGAAGTCAGCATAAGATCAATAACATAATATAAATTTTAAATATATAAATATATAGTAATAACTTAGAGTCACACAGTCATTCCTACAGCCTTTTCATTTGGACTGGTATGAATCTGAAACACAAGTCAGCAAGAAGAGCACAGGAAGTGCTATCTGATGCTTTCTAACAAACAGGCATGAATTGTATTTCTCATGATATATATTACCCTGGACTGTCCATTAGACCTTTTATATTAAATTTCTATTATTTCATGTTATTTTTTCATATATTTAGTCCCTGCAATTACCCAGTATTGTGGTTATAATTCTTCAATATTTTTTCCCTTTTAAAATAAAGAGACCTATGCAAGTTCTTACATGTACACATGTATTAAATAACAAAAACATCAGTTACATAGATCTAGGTTTCACACAAAAATTACAATGAACCACTTGGATCTATTTTCTGTTTCATCAACTCCAGGAAAAACACAAACTATTTTTAGCAGCACATCATCCTCACCAGTTGCATCCCACTGAGCTCATCCACCAAAGTCATATCTCCAGACATGATCTTCTTCAGGGAGTCATTGAACTCACTCAGCTGCTCCAGAGTTTCTTTTTTGGTCTCCTCATACTCATCTGCATCCAGCTCCTCTCTAAAGAGGATCCAAGAAGACACATTAATTCACAAGGTTTAACCTGAGATGTCACATGGAGAAAAGGGCATTGGGGAGTATCACAGAGCTCAACTCCTCAGGCAGCAATGAATTCAGTTTGACTCAAATTTTATTAGCCCACAGAAAACTAATACAAAATCACATGAGTTTGTCTAACTTTTCAGGTTATTTGTGTTAAAACAATCCCCAAACATCCATAATTATAAGACAAACCAAAACAGACACAAAAGCTATTTGCTAACTGATATTAAAAAAGCCCACAAGGAAATTGTGAGTTATGTGAACAGGTATTAGAAGCTAAAAAGTCACACTGAGATATAAAGAAACCATTGAGTCTTTCTGCCTGCATTTTCTTCAGATGATAAATAAAATTATCTTTTTTTTAAATATAATTTTTACTACCTAACACAAACATCCTACCTAATTAAAAAAATATAAATCCACAAGAAAATAAAAAAAAATCCCCCAGAAAACCCACCAGATTTTTGAAAAGTGCCCCTTTCTTCTGCCAACCACTTAAGAAAATTATTACCATATAAGAGAAAAGCAGCTATTTTTATTACCTGCATTCTTCCAGATCTTGAAGCTGCTGCATTAATCTGTCCAACTGCTCCTCCAAGTTTTGTTTTAGTTTGCTGGTCTCTGTTGTTCCTCTTGAAGCCATTTTCTGTTTTCACATGAAAGTTTTCAGTTGTTACGTGACACTCCTAGGAGAAAGTACATTTTATTGTTTGTATCAACAACTATCAACCTATTCAAAATGCTCCAAATAGCAAGAAAACGATGCAGTATCTTGCTGATGGAATGCCTAACCACAACACCCAGAGATCCTTGTAGTGGAAACAGAAATGCCAGGCTGTGTGTACGGGATTATCTTCGCAGCAAGAGGCGGTTCACCAGAGTAATAACTCAGCCACAGCACATACAACCAAACGAGGGTCAAACCAAGTAGCAATTACTGAAATACAGAGGCCCCGCTATGTAAAACAGCGGATTCGCCTCTCCAGCGGCCCCCTGGAGCGCTGTTCAGGACACACCGCGGCCGCAGGTGTCCGAGGGTCGGGAGCGCCTCCGGCAGCACTGTGAGAGACGCGGGGCGCTCCAGAGGAACCCCGGGGGTCAGGCGGGAGCGGGCACAGAACCCGCGGTCAGCGGGGCATCCCCGGCGAGGAGGGGCTGCACCACCGCCGGCGGCCGACGAGGAAACGCGACCCTCCCGCCGGCAAGCGGCGAACGGGCCTGCGGGGAGGAGACCCGGGCAGGAGGAGCGGGATGGTGGAACTCGGCACTACGCGGGTGCCGCCCGGCCCCGAAGCTCCGGCCCGGCTCTTCCTCACCCGCCCGGCCCCGCTTCCCCTCTCCCCTCACCCGGCCAGGCCTCGGCGGGGCGGGCCCGGACCGTCCCCCCGGCGCCGCTTCCGCCGCGCCCGGGCCAATGAGCGCGGGCGGCGCCGGGCCCGGCGAGCGGGCGGACGGCGGGGACGGGGCGCGGGGTCCGCGCGGTGAGTGCGGGCTCCGGCCGGGCGGGGCGGGGGCCGGGCGGGCAGTGCGCGCTCCGGGTGGGCAGTGCGGGCTCCTCGAGGTGAGTGCGGGCTCCTCGAGGTGAGTGCGGGCTCCGGGGCCCGCCGGCGCTGGGGGGGACTCGCTGGGACTCGCTGGGATTCGCTGTGCGGGGTCCGAGCTTCCGCACCCCCGTACAGACCCCCCCGGGCCGGTGTTGCTGAAGCGTCCCAGCGATGCCCACGTGTCGTGAATGTTTAGCGGTGGTTCCGTTCTCTATACGTAGAATATAATAAATTCTGTACAGAATATACAATACAGTTGTGTAAACAGATTTGATAAATGTTTGGCTCTGAATTATAAATGAGATTGAGCAAAGCATCCTTACCTGTTTTGTCCCCAGGGAGGCTGGGCTCCAGAACGATCCCAAGACCTGCTGTAGGTGTATTTTGATGTTTTTTAGTGCAAAAACATGCCCAATCCGGCTAATAGCAAGGCTGCAATCAGCACACACGAAATGCTGGTAGGATTATGTGTAAGCATGATGAGATTATATATAAGCATCTGTGTAAGGAGTACATCACAGGGCACCTCATTTTTCCATCAGAAGAAGAAGAGAAAATAATCCAGGATGTCCTACACTTATGGAATACCCAAGTGAAGGCCATTTTACTTTATTTTCCCATCTTAAGTCTTTGTGGGGAGATTTTACTAATATTTCATTTGCTATTTGGCATAAGACAGCATTATTTTAAGACTGGTCTCAGTTTTATGGAGCTAAACACCTGTGTGCAGACCTCTCTCATCTCTCTGTATAGATGAGATGCTGGTTTGGATCCTGTGGTTAAACTGCAGTAATGGGATTTGTGTCAAGCAGTGCCAAACTATCTGCAGTTCATCAAATCTACTGTTATTATACAACAAGAACAGGCCTAGTTCCATGTACAGCTCAGGCATGTACTCTCCTGGGATGTGCAAATTGCATGGCTTTTCCCAAAAAGTTAGGGCTGTGTGAAGGGGGTTCCCTACAAAGCAGATCCCAGCTGTGAGGGTGCTGTGGTGGTTACAGAGTGATGTAACAGTGAAGGTAATCCTGTCAGGATACCTCTGATCTCCTCTCCTCCCCACACCACCCATGCAGCTGTTTTCTGTGCAAACAGTGCTAGACGAAGGGTGTCAAATTAGGAGGCTGAGGGGATGTGCAAACTATGAAATTCTATTTATACTTTCATTTCTATGTAGATATGAAGGTCTGCAAGGTGAGTTTGCGAGGCAGTAATTGCCTCCTGAAAACTGTAAAATTAGTAGCATGGAAAGAGACATTTGACTGACTCCTTAAAAGGCTCTGTGTGTTTTCATCTGAAAATGTTCTACTATTTTTGCACTTTTCGTTTTCTAAGGAAAAAAAATCAACGTTTTTCCAGTTCTGCAGCACAAGTCACTCTGTAGAAAGTAGGGTTTGCACATCACAAAGGCAATGGAACTCCTTTCCTCCCGTTCCCATGGTAACTCTCCCAGCCATGTCCCTGTGAAGGCTGTTCCAAGCACCACCAGCCCTTCCTCTGCCGAGCCACTCTGCAGTAATAAAGAATATTTTAAAAGTTTGTGAAACTCTTGAAAGCGCAGAGAAGTACTAACACTTGCGAGAGGTGAAGCCTTGCAAGAGCTGCTTTTATCCGAGGGCTCTTTGATGTGGGGACACAGTGGCTGTTCCAGGGTTTGGCTGTGATGGTGTCTCAGAGCTGTGAACATCACTCAGCCTCTTTGTAACAGAGGCTGGATGTGAGGGTGACCTTGTGGGGTTTTTCCAGGCGGGGATGTTGCTGTAGGAACAATGGCAGACAATTCCAGACAGTCCTCACGGATGTCTCAGGCAATTCCTGAACAGCAGCAGCAGGAGGATGGCCTGTGCCATATCCCAGTTTTTGTTTGTTAGGGCCAGGCTGGGGAAAACCATCTTGGCAAGCCAGAGTATCCTCAGGGAAGAACACAGAAACAAAAATCCGTGTAGTTTGAGGAGAAATTAAATGATAACTAGTGAAATTTCCTAGTGATTTTCAGCAATTCTTAAGCAGCTTTCTGAAACTGAAGCTCAGAATTGGAACAGTGCTGTTGTACTTCAGAAAAAAATTCAGTATTTATTTGCAGTTTTTACTAAACTTGTTTTAATTCACTCTTCTTCTATCACCTGTTCCACTGGTACACCTACCACTGACTTTCTGCAACACAAAGCAGACTGATTCTTTTCAGGTTCAGTCCATAGCACTCTCTTCCCACATACCATTCTGAATGACATAAATTACCACCCTTTACATTTTGTATTACAGAAAATGTAAATAAATCTTGAATGAGGAAATGTTAACACTATTCTCCTCCAGAATATTTAATATATTGATTTTACAGATCTTGCTGGAAAGGCTCACTGCAGTTTAGAGAAACTACCCTAGGTCTGTTCCTCCCTGTAAGCACTAGAAGGAAGTTACTTAACGAGGAAGTTCCCTGCCCATGTGTCTCTTGGCATTGATTGGCACTGGCATCATGAAAAAGGTGCAAGGTTCTAATAAACTTTGTCCTGCAATCAGGACAGATCATCTCTCCATGTGAAATTTAAAAGCATGAGCTGCTTTTCTTCAGAGTAGGCAGTACACTGTCCTCTCTAGGCAAGCAGCCTGTTTGCAGTGATTTCATATTTTAATCTCTTAAAAATGCAGTATCACGTGAACAATCATGGGCTAAGTGTTGGTGGAAGTGATCCATTTGATCATGACATTTTATTTTCTGCTTATTGGCAGCACAAATAAGTAACAAACTCTTGTTTAATCCCGTTTCTTGTAGTGGTTGGTACCTGGCACCAACATTCTCCCCTTGGCTCTGGCTGTGAGGAATGGCTATGGAGGATCCTGAGAGGAAGACTGAAGTGGTGCTGCTGGCCTGTGGGTCCTTCAACCCCATCACCAACATGCACCTGAGGCTGTTTGAGCTGGCTAAAGACTATTTCCATGAAACAGGTAGGATGGTCGTTTGTGTCCTTCAGAATAGCTTTGATAACTAGACACTAAGTGTTAAGGTGAATATTTTGTGCCTGTGAATGCCTGTTTGACAGGGACAGATGTTTCTGGAAATCCTGATTAGATGCTGAGGCTGCAATGTGTGGATGTATCATACAAAATCATGTAGGCCAACATGAGAGAACTGTCTTATAGACATGTTGCTTATGACTGATTTTAAAGCACAGTTTTATAGTTAGTTTATAGAAATCTATCTTTCTGTTCTATCTTCCCAACTCTTTCATTGTGCTGCCCTGACAATGAAGAAGAGAACTGTACTTTTCCACTGGGCTGGCTGTCAGAGCTGCCATTGCCCTGAATAATGTTTATGTCATAGTTTAAATACAATGCAGGGGAAGTAACATCTGCTCAACCACTTCTCCTGTTCTTGTGTGGTGTGTTTTTTTTCCACAGGAAAATACAAAGTAATCAAGGGCATCATTTCACCAGTGGGTGATGCATACAAGAAGAAAGGTCTGATCAGTGCAAATCACCGAGTGACAATGGCAAAACTGGCTACAAAAAACTCGGATTGGGTGGAAGTTGATGATTGGGAAAGCAGCCAGAATGAGTGGTTTGAAACACTAAAAGTTTTAAGGTATTCTTCAGCCAAGCTCTAAAAAGTCTCACAAACCTATAGAAGGATAAGCAATGGTGTTAACCTAACGAGTTAGATAATGGCAGGCTAGTCCCAAATCGTATAAAGAGACTCAGTGAATTCAGAGGGACTATTGATATGAGCATTGAAAATGAAAGATTGCACCATTAGTCCTAAACATGCCAAAAATGAGCCTGGGAACACTTTTGAAGATATGTAATTTCTTAGACCTTATTCAGTTTTTGTGCTGAAAAGGTGTCCCTGGGGAAGGACAGACTCTAGAACAGGGCAGACACAAGGTGTGCTGCACATTTGTGTGTTTAAAGACTGGCATGAGAATTGTCTGAAGGAGTATTTTCTGAGTTTTATGGTTTTACTCTTTCAGTCATTGCTACTTCACTGAGATTCTTATTATTGAAACAAATTTTTATTAAAAAAAGAAACAAACCAACCTGATTGTTGCTTTGAAATCTTTGCACTTTGAGCACCATCTGACCAAGCTCTCAAGTCCCTGTTTCAGCAGATCAGCTCCTGGGTGGACTGTCTGTGAAAGTGCTGCAGGAGGAAGTGTGATAGATTATTTTAGGCCACAATATCCCTATTTTCTCCTACATCTTTAAAATACCTAAAATACATCTGTTTTTTGCAGGTACCATCATCAAAAGCTTTTACCTCCTGATGCCACTAACAGTCTGGAGGATGCTGTGCCCTTAACAAAGCTGGGACGAAAGAGGAAACAGGAACCAAATAGGCACGAACCCGTTAAAAAGAGAAATCAGAATCCAGATATAAAAAGTTAAGTCTGTTTGCAAATTAAATGGTTAATGATACTTGTTATTTCAAGAGAATTGCACTTTTTTATGGTAGCTCTTGGTTCTGATGCCACTGAGTAAGTTTATTCCCTTAGATCCCACAGCATAAGGCAGTAGATCCTTTTAGTGAAGGGACTTCCATAACCTTTATTCAGAAAAATCCTATATCAAGGCTATTAATTATAAATTAGATACTCTGAACCTTTTTTTATTTCGTTCCATTGTCTCCTCTTAACCAAAGATACAGAGAGATAGCCTAGAAATCAAATGTCCCTGTCAAGTTAGCTAAAATCTGGTGACCTAAACCAAGCCCTGTTTCTCACTTTTTTTCCTTTTTTAAGGTGTCCCCCAGGTTAAACTGCTCTGTGGAAGCGACATGCTGGAATCTTTTGGGATCCCCAATCTGTGGAAGTTGGAGGACATCACTGAAATTGTGGAAAAGCACGGCCTGGTGTGCATCAGCAGGGCTGGGAACAACGCTCAGAAATTCATCTACGAGTCTGATATTTTGTGGAGACACAAGAACAACATTCACCTGGTGGAGGAATGGATCACAAACGACATCTCCTCCACCAAGATCCGGAGGGCCCTGCGGAGGGGGCAGAGCATCCGCTACCTGGTGCCTGATGCGGTTCGAGCTTACATTGAGAAGAACAACCTGTACAGCCCAGAGAGTGAGGACAGGAATGCTGGGGTGGTCTTGGCTCCCTTACAGAAACATGCAAGTGACTCCAAGAACTAACAGACACTGAACAACTAACTCACTGTCTGCTGGGAAAAAGGCTCCAGTTTGGTGCAGGAGAGTGTTTTCTAGGGGTTGGTTCATTTTTTTTGGGTGCATAGTGGGCTAATTCCATGGCTTTAGTACATCTGTAGTTGCTGTTGAGGTTTGGTGCACTCAATGATTGGACCTCCACCATCTTTTTCAAGTCCCATAGTAAGATTTTCACGTTTAAACATTTAGTCACAGTGCACTGAAGTGAGTAGAAGAATTCACACCAGCATATGAGAATTGCAAATTAATAAGCAAAACAAATGAAAATGTTCTGATTGGTTTTAATTCAAACTGCTCCGATTGCTATTTATAAAATACTAACACAAATATTTTTGATAACTTACAGCATCTTAACAAAGCTATTTAATTTCTAAGGTACCATTTACTGATAGTAAATCTGTGTAGCTGTAATTGCCAATATGTGGTTCATCTTAAAGAAATTATTTAGTTCTGTTCTGACAGGGACAAATTTCCTCCTGGCTGAAGTGGTGCTGGGTGCAGCCTGCTTGGAGCTGCTTGTCTTTCAAATATGCAGCTGCTTGTTTGCCATCATGCAATTTGCTCCCAGAAATGTCTTGTGCTTTACTCTTCTATTCATGTTTCCAGGGCTGTAGTTAAGCTCAGTATTGTTTCTGATGGAAGGACAAACCTACCTCAGAAACTGATTCATAGCCACTGATTTGATAGAGAGAAATTAATAATAGCGCCATTGCACTGATTCTCAGATGGTTGTCCCTTTATTGCAAATAATAAATTTCTTTCAAATAATAAAATACCTTTTATGTTTGAGCCATGAGAACAATATAATGGTATATAGCCAGAATTGTTTTCTGTTACTGCAGTTGAGAGGAAATTGTAGGAAATTAGTACTGTACATAAGTGAAATGTTCTTCTTTGCTAGAAATCTGGGTTTGAATCCAACAGTGTATTGCCTGTATTATGTGAATATAAGCTGGAGAGGCACTGTGAATGATGTGGTGATAGAATTCTACCTCCCTTCATTTGCTGCCATCCCATTTTTGTTTGGATTATGTGCCTTATTACAAATGTCAAGGTTTCCAAGCCACTCTCTAATGGGTCAGCAGCTCTTTCATAGCTCTCCACAAGATGACTCTGGTCACCTTTTCCAGATGAACAAATCCAGCCCAGTGTGAGCCTCTCAGGGCAGGAGGCCAAGATGCTCTTGGGCAAGTCTAGAACCAGGGACACGTTCCAGGATCATAACTGTGACAACCCATCACCCTCCTGCCCTGGGCAGGGCATCCCCAGGGAGCTGAGGCAGAGGTCTGGGCTTCCCTCAGAGCTCAGGGGGAGTCTGGGAGACAGAAGCCAAATACAGAACATTGTGGGTGGCCCTAGGCTTGTCTAAAATCCAGCAGGAGAGTTGGAACACTGCTGGGAAAACCTGTATCCTGCAGTGGAGCTGCCATTGAACATGCAAACTGGGAGCCCCACATGAAATTCTGCGTTTACCAGACAATAGAACATCTGTGTTCTGCTGGTTCCAGCCTGCAAAGATGGAAGAATCCACAAAGAGATTGGTGTAATAAAATCAAGTCACACCCTAGAAGTACATCTGTGACAGAAAGTAGCACCAAGGATTCTTAGAGTTGTATTTTTGGTGTTTCCTCCTTAAATGTACTGACTGCCATTTCTTCCCCCAGAGCTCAGGTGAGTTTACACTGTCCTTTGGTGATGAGGTTGGGTTCTTTTAACCTCAGTAGTTATAAAGGAAGGATAAACGATGCCCCTGTGATACCTCAGCAATCCAACTACCTGAGCTGACTGCAGACAACTGTACCAGTGATGGGGCTTGGGAAAGGGTGACATCTCCTCTCCTCTCTTGCTCACTGTCTGTCTTTAGGACTGATGAGAATAGAGGGCAGGAAAGAGTTATTTTGAGCCCTCAAGTCAACCAGTGTGCTGCTGAATAAACAGAGCAGATCCTTCTAATGGGACAGCACCCTGTTTAGGTGGTCATTTTTCAGAGTAAAACTGCACTTTAAGTCTAGGTTTATCCTTCTTAATAATGATGCTGGTGTGTGTTGGTGCTCTTTGTGTAATTGTAGAGAAACTGCAAATTCAGTAGGATTTTCTTATAAAGCTTTGTTCTTTGGTCTTCAGTTTTATTTTGCTGGAGTTTAATGTGTGGTGGATCTTTCAATAAAATAAATTGCATGCAATATGCTAATTTTAGTCATCCTGTTGTTCACCATATCTGATGTCTGACGACTGCATGATTTTTAAGAGGTAGAACGATGTTAGTACAGTTTGGTCTATACAAACCAGAATATTGTTCAAAAATTACTCTGAGTGCTGAGTATGGATCCTCTGTGTTACTGGTGGGATCCATAAACCTGCCTGTTCCAGCACTAGGAGCACACTCACCATCTCCTCTTCCAGTCAGTTACAAACCCCAGCACCACAAGCAGTGATGTGGCTGTTCAAAGATGTCAGACAGGTATAACTTTCAGGAGTGGACTCTTGTCAGATCTCAAAGAGAACTGATCTACAGGAAGAAGCACCACACCCCTGACTATCTGCATAATTTAATTTTAAATTAAAATGTTATATCCAGGCTTTGACACAGGATTTACCCAAGTGCTCACTTCTCTTTGCTTGCAAGAGTCAGTCGTGTTGCAACAGTGCTTTACTACCACAACCTCATAACACCCAGTTGTGGGTGAAATGTTACTATCTGAGTCCAGGAACACATTCATTTTCATTTCTCTGTGCCATTCCTGCTTTAGTGTAGGTTAGAGAACATCCAGCTGCAAACAGGAAACAAGCTTTGACGTCCTGATTTCCTCCTCACATCATCTGTGAGTCATGTTGGTCAAACTGCCAGCTCCAGAAAAGGAGCTAAAGTTCAGGGAAACTTCTCTGCAAAACGTTATCCTTTTTATTCAGCCTAACACAAGTCAGCAAATAGATAAATACAGTAAGTGTAGGTGAGTTTCTTCACCTGCAAATCCCTTATTTCCTCACTTCCAAATTCCCTGGATCATTTCTCTTCAAAAGTCAAGCATTTTTTATTCTCTTTTCAAAACCCATTGCTGGGTCATCACTTCTGAGATCTATCATTTTGCTGAAGGTGAAGTCCAGCACTGAAGCTTATCTGCTGCATCCTGTGCTCCACTGCCTGTGTGCTCTGCCACAATGTAAAGCATCTAATAAACTATCAGTGGAACAACTCCTGTATCAGCTCTCCTGTCTGTGTGAAGAGTAGAAAGCAAAGGGGGGAGCTACATCTGTGTACAGGAAAGTACTATTTGAATGTGCCTCCAGATATAAGGCAACAGGATAGAATTCTTATCTCTATTACTGTCTTAAGCACTGTTTTAAAATGGATTGGTATGATACTCTCTCCAGTTTAGCAGTCAATCCCTGCCTGTTCAAATCCAGCACGTCTTCACAGGGGTAGGTCACCTTTTCCATCGTGAGTCACTGCTCACCTTCTCAACAAATACCTAGATTTCAGGTCATAAGGCCACAGATCTAATAAACATGCAGGAAATTTTAGTAATGATAAAATCAGTCCCTTTAAAGTGTACAAGATGGACATAAGCCAGTTTTTGGCTTGCATTGTGGCTCTTGGGCTATTAACATTTGCTCCACACAAAGATTTCGGACACGGTGAACTTTTCCCTCCAGCGCAGCTGAAGCCATTCCACAAACACCCTCTCACCCATTGGCCTGGCAGTAGCACCCTTCCCCTCCATAGGAAAAGCCCTGGGATATAATCCCACCCACAATCTGCTTTATATAAGGCCTGGTTAGAAAATTACTTCTTCATTTTTGCTTTTTTGACTGGACCTTCCTTCTGCTGTCTGGCAATGCCTGTGGATTTCAGTGGAACCTGGAACCTTGTCAGCAATGACAACTTCGAAGGTTATATGGTGGCCTTAGGTAGGTGAAAATACCTGATTCTGTCCCTCCTCCCTTCCCCCAATAAGGGTCCTTCTGAATTTTAAGAGTCTAAGCTCTTCAAAAACGTAGACATTGCTTAAACTTTTTTTCTTTTCTCTGAAAAACAGTGGAAGGATCTTTGTTTATTGATAAACAGACCGTTACTAGAGCCTGTCATTGCAGCTTGGGGAATTTCTCAGCCTGATCTATAGAGAGATTAACAGTGCTTTAATGGGGAGCTAAGAAAGTTCTCAGGACTTCATTAGCTCTCTTGTACAAAGCTCTTTGCAGACTGTGACAGCAGGAACCTCGTGTGCTGCCCTCTCCCACCTCTCCCACCCCTCCCTACCTTTGTGACCTGTAGGAACTGGTGACCAGCACTGTCCCTTGTTGGTTATGGTTCACACAACTAGAAAGAAATCTATTTTCTGGCTGTATCCATACTGGGGAACTTTCTTAAATTGTCTAGTTGGTATCTGTAACAGGGTGAAAGGACCCTTCTCTGTTACTAATCCTGCTGTGTTATCAACTAGGAAGAAAAAAAAGAGAAAGTGTGCTCCTATAATGAGTAATTATTCCTCAGTTAGGATACTGAGTAGTATACTCTAAATGTGTTAATGTCTTCAAATAAAAGACAGATTATGTCTGTTCCTTGATGATAAATATTGTCCAGCTAAGTAAAGGGCTTTTTGAAACTAAATATAACTACCAATATTGTGAGAAAATGCAATTAGCTTTCAGCATGTGATCGGGGGAACTTACTTAAAAGTAGAGGGGAAGATCCTGTTGATGACTTCCAACCTGCCTCTAATCAGTCCTGCTTGGTTTCCAGTGTGCTGAGCAAAACAAAGCTGAAGTCAGTATTGTAGAGCTAGAATGGAACACTTGTCTACCAGGGCAAGTGGAGGGGGGAGGTTAATACCTGATCAGCTTAAGAACTAGAGGGTTATGGATAAGGATGTGGTTATACCAAGCCCAGCGCTTCCCTTCATTTACATCCACCTCTAAAGAACAGATCTGTAAGTAGTTTATATGTTTATAGCTTTTATAACACATTCTTGTTAAGGGTTAATGGGAATGGCTGTTGCCAGTGCTGAATCCAAATCCCTCTATGCTGAAATGAAGTGGTAACATGTGAAAACATGCCTGCCAGATCCTGGCACATCTCTAATGCACAGAGTGGCACAGGCTGACTCCTGGGCCATATGGTTCAGATCCTGGCACATCTGGAATACCCAGAGTGGCACAGGCTGAATCCAGGGCCATATGGTTCAGATCCTGGCACATCTGGAATGCCCAGAGTGGCACAGACTGAATCCAGGGCCATATGGT